TTTATGGGACTTGTAAATGAAGGTTGGCACTGCACGCTGTACATAGAGACAAGCAAGATATGTTCACTGATAAACACAAAAAATGACAAACGTTTGGCTTACAAAAATTACCGTTTTAGTCAGAAAGGGGCTTCATGGTCTGACAGTGTGCGGCAATGTTACAAGTGTTATAACCCAAACAACTGCTAATCAGCGACAACAAGCCTCCGAATGTCAATTGCTGCAACTTTGCACATGGCATTCCAATCCCCCAAATCTTACGGTTTCCTAGATATACGTCAAACACCGTCTTACAAGTTCGGTGCAGATGTGTTCATTTGCAGCTTGTCTTATGTTTTACGCCCCGCTGCCGTTCAACTAAAGCCAGAGAGACGAGTAACATTATGAAAAGTCAGTCGAGCTGATTTGCTCAAATTCCTTAATTTGGAACAATTGTGTCTGGAATAACTAAGTTTTATGAAGTGGATTTTGTATGAGTAGCTATAATTGCGAGAACGAAGTTCGGGATGAAGTTCGTAGGCGCGACTACGAAAAAATTATTTCATAATCACTTACCAGGATATCGATCCTCTCGATCTAGGTTATTCCTAAAATCCGGAAATGCGATCTGGGTGACACTGGAAACACACACGTGTTGTTGCGTAGCACTTCACATAACATGGTTGTAACACTGCTTTTTAAAACGGTGTTAGAAAAAGCGGCTAGCAATTTTAATATTTAGAATGGAAAGCACGAATGGGACTAAACCAACTGACCCAGTTCCTCAGGATGCACCACCACATCGGTGCCAGCAATGCAGTTCGCGCATAGTTGCACTGCACTACCCCATTGATAAACACGGAAAAAACGGGGGTGTTGACATGGAAAAACGGGTCACGGAAAACTGGGTTATTCGGCGACGGAGGTCTCCTTATAATTAATGTAAAAGTCCATTTCTGCCAGAGAGACATTAAAAATAATAGCTATGTAAGTTGTAAAAATGTTAACTTGAATTAAAAAAAAAAAACTTTTGAAATTACAAATCATTTATTGTACATCTCAGTTTTCTAGAAAGTTTCAATCAAACAAGAAATGAATTGAAGTAGTTTAAATCATAAAATTGTTGGCATACACCTTGGTCCCACAACAAATTTCAAGATTTTTTTGATATCTTATTATATTATTATTATTTTGAATATGGCAACATTTAGAATTTTTATTGACTTTAATCAGAAAATTTGAAAAAGCTTGAGCATTGATGATCAATTTTTTGTAAATTTTTGGTAGCTTTTCCCAAGATCAATTTTTCGATATTCTTATCCCTTTGAGACTTTTTGTCCTATTTTTTCGAAAGTTATATAAAGGACTTGGATTTTTTACCATATTTAAAATTTGTAAAAAATTCTACTTTCCAAGCGAATATTTGGAGATTTTTGGTCCGCGACCTTCAATATGCTTACATTTTTCTTCCTTCTTTTTTTGCGTTTGCAATTTTCCAGTTTTTCGATTTTCCAAGTTTTGGGATAGATAATTTTTTAATTTTTCGATTTTTCAATTTTTCATGCCTTTGATTTTTCGTTTCGGTTTTTTATTGTTTTAATTTTTTCAATTATTCGATTTTTCAACGTTTTGGTTTTATCATTTTCTTGTTTTTTTAATTTTAATTTTTTCAATTTTTCCTTTCTTCAATTTTTTTCAGGTCAGGTCAGGTCAGGTCAGGTCAGGTCAATACTAGCTAAGATAAGACTGATTGGCACAAATTTTATATCCTCTATGAAAATAGGGGGCGGGTGGGTGGGGCTAGTATTTGTTAAGATAACACTCTTTTTGCTAATGACGGAACAATATTAAGAGTAATCACTGGAATAAAGAGGGGGTGGGTGGTCAGAGCTATTCCTTGCTTATAAAAAACTCTGAAATAAAAAGTTAAACTTAGCTCCACCCACCCACCTGTTCTCTCATTTTTTTTCTTCTGCTTGCAATTTTTCTATTTGTAATTTCAGGAGTTTTCAATTTTTAATTTTTGAATTTTTCGATTCTTTAATTTTCCATTGCTTCAAATTTTCGATTGTTTTTTCAATTTTAGATTTTTCAGTTTTTCGATTTTTTCCATTTTTCGTTTCTTCAGCTGTGAGTGCATTGATCACCCAGAAGCATCACAATATTTTGCAATTTGAGAGAGAATTTATTAGTCAAAATTTTTAGATGACGTCATCAATTTTTTGGGGACGATAGATGAATAAATTTTGATTTACGATTTACCACGATTACGATAACCTTAAAACGTTTGCAAGATTTCACAGAATTCGGTTGTATGCTTTCAAAGTTAAATTGTAAAATGTTGTACAATTTTGATTTTTTTTTCAAAAATCTGGATGCCAAGGGTGAAAAGTCAACACAAATTCATACATCACAAGTGCAAGAGTATCTTGATTTATGAAATTAAAAAATAATTTTGGAGATTATGTATCTAATAAGAATTGATACAGACGAGAGAGAGAGCGCGAGAAAGAGATTACACCTTGAAATTTTTCACTCTTTTTCACTTTCCAAAATAAGCTAAAGAATTTTTTTGCAGATTTCCACGTCGAGTTTTTTTAGTTGTTCTGATTTCTCAATTTTTCAATTCTTTGATTTTTCAATCTATCAATTTCTCGATTTTTCAATACTTCAGATTTTCAATTTTTCAATTCTTCTATTTTTCAGTTTTTTGATTTTTCGATTTCTCAATTTTTCGATTTTTCGTGAGAATTAAAATCGGAAAAGTGAAAAATCAAAAATCAGAAATTGAAACAAAAAATAAAAAAACGAAAATTTGAAAAATCGAAAAACTAAATATCCAGTTAAAATTGGGATACTCAGAAATCGAAAAATTGGAAATACGAACAATTGAAAACACGAAAATTGAAAAATCGTAAAATTAAAATCGGAAAACTGAAAATTCACAATTGAAACAACGAAAAATTATAAAATTAAAAATCGAGGAATTGGAAAATAAAAAATTATTCTAAGATCGAAAAATTGAAAAATAGGAAAATTCAAGACACAAGGATTGGAATAATTATTGAAAAATTGAAAAACTGAAATAAATCAATCAAAAAATTTTAAATTCAAAATTCAAAAAACTGTGAAATCGAAAAATTGCAAAATATAAATGGGATAACTAATTAATTGAAAATACGAATAATTAAAATATTTAAAAATAAATCAATTGAAAAATCGGAAAATTGCAAAATTGTGAAATGAAAAATCCAAAAATTGAAGAAACGAAAATTTGATTATTAACTGCTCAAAAATTGAACATTTAAAACTGAAAACTAAATCGAAATTTTGTCAGTCCAGAAACGGAAAAATAGAAAAATTAAATATTGAGATCTTGAAAAATTGAAAAAATGAAAAATCGAAACATCAAAAATTCAGAAACTGAAAACTCAAAAAAGGTGCTTCATTTCTTCAAAAGTTGTGCCATTTTTCAGAATTGCCGTTATGAAATATGGAAAATTTTAGGATCTTTAAAAAATTGCACTTTCAAACCCAATATTTGGAAAATTTTGGTCCGGGACTTTCAACAAATGTTCGAAATATATATCTTAGAATTTTTTGTGAATTTTTACGCAACTTTTACAAAAAGCTCATTTTTCAAAAATTGTGAATTTTTTTTTTCAAACATCTTCGACAATTTTATTGCCAAAAAAGTTTCTTTTGTTGATTCTGATTTTTAGAAGTTTCGGCTACTTTTCTTGGAAAATTTTTATCATTTTCCTAGAATTCTCAATATGAAATATGACAATTTTCAAGAATTTTTATTGATTTTTTCAGTGAGAGTATTTGAAAAATCTTGGTCCTGGATCATCAGTACGCCATATTTTTCGAGCTCGTCTAGATCTATATTCCAGAATTCTCTGTGAATTTTTAGGCAACTTCTCCAAAGAACTCAATTTTTTTCAATACCTTCCCCCTTTGGAAATTTTTTACCTCTTTTGACCTTTTTCAAACATGGTTGAAAATGACTAAAAATGTTTTTTTTTTAGATATCCACAACAGAACCCATTTTCGGCTTCATTTCTGCGAAGACTCTTTCTTTTTAGGATCTTTAATCAATTCGAATTTCAAACTGCATATTTGAAAAATTTTAGTTCGGGACTATGTTTTTCTATAGTTTTTAAGTAACTTTTCCAAAATTTCAATTTTTCACTACACCCACCCTAAAATTTGTGACAAGTTTTCGAACAATTTCTGGAATTACCACTTTTTTGTAGAATTCCATCTCCAGAAGTTTTATATTCGGCTCTATTTTTTCTAAAATTTTTACCATTTTTGTGGAATCGTCAATTTGAAATATTAAAATTTTTTGGATAAAAAAAATTGATTTTCAAAAGGAATATTTGGAAAATCTCGATCCAGCACCTTCAATAACCTATGTTTTTCTATAATGTATTTGTTTGAATTTTTTGTGTATTGTTAGACAATTTTTTCAAAACCCTCAATTTTTCAGAAATTACGAAATTTTCGACATTTTTCCAAACACTTTCGAAAATTACCAAAAGAAATGTTTTGTAGATTTTGACTTTTGGAAATTATTGTTGGCTACATTTCTTTGAAAAAACTATCAAACCGAATGTTTGCAAAATTGCAGCTCGTCGAGATCCATATGAAATTTTACATCTTTTCCAGAGCACTGTAATAAAAAGTATAATTTGACATGGTTGACAGTGACAATTAATTTAATTTAGAATCAGGTTTGGCAATAGCAGAGCAACAAATTTTTGCGAGAATTGGCTAATTCTATTACCAATCTAAACAGTACTTGTTGATCACGCTGTATTTGAAATCGTGATCGACCTTGTCCGTAACCCTTGTCCTCCCATTTCCGCCTGGTAGTTACGCTACTGTTCAAAAAAATGAAAACAAAATTGCTTAGGCAACACACAATACACCAAAACGAAATAACCGTCCCGTTGCCTATACGTAAACGAATGCTGGTTTATTATGCTTATCTATGCATCCTTGTTTATATCACACAGACAGTAGTTGTTATTTTTGTCGTCTCCACAACTTCATTGTCAACCGACCGCAACCAACGTGTTGCAGATCGAAGGCTTCAACAAGAGTTCAGTTTCAAGTGATAAATTAGTAAGAAATTTGTCGTAGCAGACAGCAACGGCAGACAAATCAAGGTACGTATGTTAAATTTTATTAAATGCGAATTAAATCAAGGCATTCTTGTGTTGCAATATTAACTCTTAACAAATCTTAAATGTTTAATTCGTCATTCGTGGGGTATGCATTTCAATCATAAATATGTTGGGTTACATTATACTCCCACGTTGCAATCTAAGATAATTCTCTTATCATGGGAAATACCCGCTTCTACGAAAGATTGAGGTTAGCTTTCTGCTGAATGTGCTCGAAATAAAAAAAGAACCTAGTCGGATCCCCCTAAAAAACCTAATTTGTTGGTCATTTCCGTGTGACATTTTTTTACACAGTTACCAAAAAATTGTCTTCTGCAACGTATTTTTTTATGATTATTGCATGCAAGGTGTCTTCAGCGTTAAACATCAAAGCTCCTAAACGTCTACTCGTAGACCGGGGGGTCCCAGACTTTGTTACACAATTGTTCGAATATGCATATAACAAGGAAATCAAGAATGTTGCATCACGTTTAATTAAACAGGATTGAATTTTTAAACAATTAAAACAAACAAAAGAAGGTCTCAATATTTTTTATTTATTACTATTATATTAATATTAAGTTCTGCTTTAAATGTATGCATATATAAGACGCATATTTTAGGACAGTTACCTACAAAGAAAAATTCGAAAAAAAGTATTTTATGGATTAATGTTTTGTGTTTTTTTTTTTTTTAATTATAAAGCATTAAGTGCAAATTATCATCAAAATTAATTTATTCGTCCCCTCCAGAAGGTTGATGACGTGATCTGAAAAACTTGTACAGCTGTGCGTAATGTATTAAAAACACCAGTACATAAGTACCACGAATTAGTAAAAGAGGGGAAGGAGGATCTTTTTTCACAAGGGACTTAAAAACTGGGCCATTTTCAATTTTCCCACGACATCGTCACACCTTCAAGTCCACACTCACTATCTTATCTTATCTCGCTTTCCTCAAAATTGTGATAAGTAATCTTCCTTGCAATTTATAGACTACCGTATTTGGCTTTTTTTAATACAAATTAATGTTTCCTCAGATCTTTTCAAAATGCTGGCGCCACCCGAAGCCCTCCCCCACTTAAAATGCAGCGCCTGCACCAAACACCTGTCGTATTTTCCAGTCTACGTGTCTCAGAATTCGGAATCGACGAAACTCGGAACTCTCTGCGGAAGATGTTCCGAAAATCTAATAGTCAACGAAAGAAATTATGTACGAGATACTCTATATGAAACCATGGCTCAATTTATAAAATTCCCCTGCATATACCATTCGGAAGGCTGCATCGAAAGTCTAATTCCGGCGGACGTTCCCAACCACGAACGTAACTGCCCCTACAGGATTATCTCTTGCGCTCTGGACTGCGTTTGGCAAGGAACTGTCCACGAACTCTGTACCCACATTGAAGACACTCACCAAAATGTTCTCATCCGGAACGGCGAATTTGAAATGGACATTTTAAACTCTTACGAAACGTATAGCTTCCTAGTGCACGAAGACGAAATTTTTAACCTAAAGCGGAAATACAACTCGACGGACAAGATTTTCACTTGTTCTCTCTTCAGTTATAAAGTTCTAGATACTGTAACCAACCATTACTACGAAGTAACTGTTTTCAACGGTAACAGAAATCTGTCGGTCAAGTTTCCGCTTAGACGAGCTGAGAATTTCAAAGAGGACAACGTGACTGTGATAGATGTTGAGAAAGTGAAAAGACAACTAGACGACCCTTCTATTATTATAGGATCAATAAGAATATTCACACTCGATAATCAAAAGGAAGAAAAACCGACACCAAAAAATCCGTACACGGAGTTAGAGCTAAGTATGCTGAACGAGTTGGAATGTCCGGTGTGCTTCGAGTACATGATTCCACCCATTTTTCAATGCGATGGTGGCCACAGCATTTGTAGCAATTGCAAATCTCAAATAAAGGAATGCCCTACGTGTAAAGAAGAAATAGACGACACCCACAACTTCGCTTTAGAGAAGATGGCGCAGTTGATACATTATCGATGCAAGTTCAACGAGCTTGGATGCAATTATAGGGCGAAACCTGACGAAATGAAGCAACACCAAACATTCTGTTTGTTTGGGCCACATCAGTGTCCTTTGAAAGATTACGAGAATTGTAAATGGGCTCACGCCGCCAAGGAAATATATCCTCATATAGTCTCAAAGCATCACGAGAATTTGTTAGAAATTGATCATGTGCAAGTTTTTATGGGCGACGACTATTTAACTCAAGAGGAAGATCTGTGTTACATTAAAAAGTTTTCTGATGCGTTGTTCAAGTTGCATTATCGGTTTTCGCAGAACTGTTTTTACTGGTCGATGCAGCTGATTGGGCCTCCGGACGAGGCGAGGAAATACAGATTCGAAATCGATGTCTTGGATAACACCAACAGCAACCAAAAGATCTTTCTGAGGAATTTCTGCGCACCGTTGACTGACAAAAACGAGACTTTTAACCAAGATAGTCCACACGTGTTTCTCAAGCTGGAACAAATTCAACCTCTGTTGACTGATCAACTAAACTATTTTATTCGTATTATAAAGTGATAACCTTTTATACTATGTGAAGACGTTTTATTACGATTTATGTATGGCCATTTTTGTTAACAATAAAATTGCTTGGAGAGTCCGTGAGAGAAGTTTTTCTATTCAGTTGGTTGAAAATATCTCTAAAAACTTGGAAAATTACTAAACGAGATACATTTTTTAGTAAGATCTCTTTATGTGCGATCGTATGCGAAGCCCTTACTTCTCCTATTTCCTGCTTATAGTTACGCCACTGCTTTTAAATAAAAACCAAACTGCTGATCCAACACACAATACACCAGACTATAATAATCATACCCTTTGCCTATACGTTAACAAGTGCTACTTTAATTTTGTGTTTATCTAGCTATCCTTTTTTATGTAACACACAATGTAGTTATTTTTATTTCTTCCACTACTTCATTGTCAACGAATCGCAACCGATGTATTGCAACTAGTTCCAAGGCTGCAAAAAGAATTCAGTTTTAAGTGATAAAGTAGGTAGTGATCAATTTATCTTACCAGACAACTGACAGTAAGTATGTTAAAAATAACTGTTAAATTTTCTTCATCAGAAATTAAATAAACACGTTGCCGTTAATGTTGCAATATTGTAAATTTCTTTGTTATTGCATGCAAGGTGTTTTATAGCAATAAATAAACAAGTGTCTTAATGTCTCATCTTACACGGGAAGATCTCAGACGCAGTTTCACAGAAAATAGTTTGGTTATTAATGACAAACAACTTAATGTTTTTGGAAAATCTTGGTCCAGGATTATTAATATTCATTCTCATAAAAATTTAAAAATTATTTACATAAAATGTTTAAAGAACAAAGTGTTTAAGTAAATTAAACTGTCATGAAAAAGAGTATAAAATTTTCTAAATATACAATATTTTTGTCCACGAGTGTACACTGTTTATGATTTAGCATGTAAAATCATACAAGAGAAGAGATTTCACTCTCAATTTTATTTTGTATTTGTTGCTGTTGTGGTATCCCGGTTGAATTTAAAATTACGCTGAGAGAAATTAAAAACAACACTTTGAAGCCGCATTTGAAAATAATGAATCACATTCAGCGCCACAGTCCGCTTCAACGAGTGTAATTTAATATAAGAAGATCAAGACGTGTTAATTTTGTTTTGCTTTTAGAGCTCAAAATTGTCATTTATAAACTCCGTTGCCAAGTTGGCGTTGATAGTAACTTTGATATCCAACTTTTGCCGTATTTAAAGGGGTTGTAGAAGAAAAGTGGAGGATCTAACTTGATTATACTACAAAAATTTACCACTTTGGACATGTTTTACGTTTCTTGTTGTCGAATTAAGTCTACACATATCAAGAAAATAGGGCAAAATGTAGCCCCGCCCACCCACCCTATCCCAATTGTGATAATTTTTTTCAATCGTCGAGAGCCAAAGGAGCGGAGTTTAATTGCAAAATCCTTATTATTTCTCTACAAGAAATTACTATGTAAGACATGTTTTTGAGTATCGTGTTATTAAAAAAATGCCATGTATATTAAGGTAAAATTAAAACTAAAGATCTAAATAGTAATGAAGTTTTCATTCGTTGGCAGACGTAGGGGCGGAGCCTAATTGCGAAATCCATATTTCCTTACAAAATTTCTAAGAAAAAAAATCACTACAATTGAAATAGGGTGGGTGGGCGGGGTCTATATTTTGCCTTTTTTTCTTAATATACAAAGTATTCTTTGAATAACACGATATTCAAAAACATATCTTTAATTTCTTGTGAAGAAATAAGTATTTTGCAGTTAAGCTTTGCCCCCTTGGTTCACGGTGAATAAAAAAATCATCACAATTGAGATAGGGCGGGTGGGCGGGCTTACTTTTTGCCCTTGTGTTTTCATATGTGTACACTTCTTTTCACAACATGAAACTTGAAACATGTTTAAAATGGAAAATTTGTATAAGCCCCATAATTGCAAAATCCATATGTCCTTGAAAAAATGTACGATTTTAACCATGTTCTAAGTTTCTTGTTCTGAAATGTATATTAAGAAAAAAAAAAGGCAAAATATATGCCCCGCCCGCCCACCCGATCTCAATTCTGATGATTTTTTTATTCGTCATACGCCGCCGAGGGGTGGAGCTAAATATTAAATTCCTTATTTTTTTACGAGAAATTACCATATGAAATATGTTCTTAAGTAATCGTGTTATGCAAAAAAACTAAATGTATTAATTAAAAAAAAAAAAAAACAAAAGAGAAGCCCCACCCATCCGTCACGATCTCAATCATGATGAATTTTTCATTCGTTGTCAGACCGAGGGGCGGAGCATAATTGCAAAACCGATATTTCCCTATACAAATTTTCCATTTTAAACATGTTTTAAATTTCATGTTGCGAAAAGAAGTCTACACGCATTAAAACAAAAAGGCAAAATGTAAGCCCGTCCACCCGCCCTATCTTAATTGTGATGATTTTTCTTTATTCGTCGAAATACTAAGAGTGGAAAAACTGAAAAATCACAAAATTGAACAAAATATTCAAAAATTAGGAAGTTAGAGAATTGAAAAATTGAGAAATCAAAAGATCAGAAAGCAAAGTCGAAAAATCGCAAATCTAAAAAATCGAAAAATTGAAAAATCAAAATTCTGAAAAATCGAAAAATTGAAGAACTGAAGAACTGAAAGATGGAAACTTCGGGAAATCAAAAAATAGATTAATGGAGAAATCGGAAATCTGAAAATTCTGAAACGTCAAAATTTGAAAAATTAAAAATATTGAAGAACTGAAAAATCGAAAAATCTAAAATTTAAAACATTGAAAAATTAAAATATCGTAAAATTGAAAACTGGAGAAATCTAAAAATCAAAAAATAAAAAAAAATAAAAATTGAAAAATCGAAAAACTAAAAAATCAACAAATCGAGAAATCAAAATTCGAAAATTAAAAAAAATTGGAAAATCGAATAATGTAATAGAAAAACCGAAAAGTCGAAAAGTAAAAATCAAAAAACCGACAAATCGAAACATCGAAAAATTCAAAAACTGAGACATCGAGAAGTCGAAAAATTAAGAGATGGAGAAATCGAGGAGTCGAAAAGTCGACAAGTCGAAAAATCGAAAAATTGAGAAACCGAAATAGGCCAAAATCGAAAAGTTAAAAATGGAAAAATTGATAAATCGAGATCTCAAAAATTCAAAAATTGGGAAAATAAAAAAATTAAAATATAGAAGAACGTAGAATTCGAGAAATCGAAAAATCTAGAATTTTAAAAATGAAAAATTACAATATCGAGAAGTTGAAAAATTGAGAAATCGAAATATAAAACAGTCGAAAAACTGAAAAATCTAAAATTTAAAGCATTGAAAAATTAAAATATCGTAAAATTGAAAAATGGAGAAATCTAAAAATCAAAAAATAAAAAAAATTAAAATTGAAAAATCGAAAATATAAAAATCGAAAAACTGAAAAATCAACAAATCGAGAAATCAAAACTCGAAAATTAAAAAAAAATGGACAATTGAAAAATCGAAACAGAAAAACCGAAAAGTCGAAAAGTAAAAATCGAAAAACCAACAAATCGAAACATCGAAAAATTCAAAAACTGAGACATCGAGAAATCGAAAAATCAAAAGATGGATCGAAAAATTGAGAAACCAAAATAGGCCAAAATCGAAAAGTTAAAAATGGAAAAATTGATAAATCGATATCTCAAAAATTGAATAAACGAAAATTTAAAAAAAATGGGAAAATAAAGAAATTAAAATGTAGAAGAACTGAGAACTTGAGAAATCGAAAAATCTAAAATTTAAAAATGAAAAATTACAATATCGAGAAGTTGAAAAATTGAGAAATCGAAATATAAAACAGTCGAAAAACTGAAAAATCTAAAATTTAAAACATTGAAAAATTAAAATATCGTAAAATTGAAAAATGGAGAAATCCGGGTTATAACTTGATAAACAAAATAATGAAGCTTGACTAAGTGAATTTCCTAACACGTGGTTTATATGAAGAATTTCATGATTCTTAAAGTGTGTTAGAACCAGAAACAATTAAAAATACTAACATGAACTGCGAATTTACAAACAACATTAGTAATTAATTACACTTGTGGATATTATCATTATTTAAAATGCGATTTCGCTGCGTTGTTTTTTTTTCTCAGCGTGAGATTTTAATTCAAACTGGGACACCACAATGTGAGTATAATATGAGGCAGATGTTAATCTTTCCTAGGTTGACTCGATTACAAATTATGTTGCTCGCCCGATTTTGCTCTTTCCAGATCCGTCCAAAATGTTGGCGCCACCGGAAGCTCTCCCTCTCTTAAAGTGCAGCGCTTGCACCAAACACCTCTCACATTTTCCAATCTACGTCTCCCGGAATTCGGATTTGCCAACGTCTAGAGCTCTCTGCGGAAGATGTTCCCAAAATCTAACAGACAACGAAACTTATGTAAGGGACACCCTGTACGAAGCCGTGGCCCAATTTCTAAAATTTCCCTGCATGTACCACTCGGAAGGCTGCATCGAAAGTCTGATTCCCGCCGACGTTCCAAATCACGAACAAATTTGCCCCTATAGAATTATTTCCTGCCCTCAGGCTTGTATTTGGCAAGGAACTGTCCACGAATTTGGTACTCACATTGAAGAAATTCACCCTAATATTCTTCTAAGGGAGGGCGAATTCGAAATGTACATTGTAAACTCATACGAAACGCACAACTTCCTAATGCTCGAAGACGAAATTTTTAATTTAAAGCGAAAATTCGATGCCACGGAGAAAACTTTGACTTGTTCTGTCTTCTGTTATAAAATTCTAGATACTGTTACCAAGTATTACTACGAAATAACTGTGTTCAACGGTAATAAAAGTCTGTCGGTCAAGTTTCCGCCTAGACGTACGGAGAACTTCCAAGAGGGTAATACCATTGTGATTGATGTTGAAGACGTGCGAAGACAACTAGACGACCCTTCTATTATTATAGGGTCCATAAGAATATTCACAATCAATGAACAAAAGGAAGAACGACCAGCACCATTGACTCCTCGTACTGAACTAGAGTTAAAATTCCTCGACAGACTTACATGTCTGGTGTGCTTCGAGTACATGTTTCCACCTATTTTTCAATGTGGCGGTGGACACAGCATTTGCAGCAATTGCAAAAATCGGATATCGGAATGCCCTTTGTGTAAGCAAGAAATACGAGACACCCACAACTTCCCTTTAGAAGAGATGGCCCAGTTGCTGCATTATCGTTGCAAGTTCGAAGATTTTGGTTGCAATTTTAGGGCAAAACCTGAAGAAATGAAGCAGCATCAAAGGTTCTGCTTGTTTGGACCACATCAGTGTCCTTTAAAGGATTACGAGGATTGTAGTTGGGCTCACGCGGCCAAAGAAATATATCCTCACATTGTATCCAACCATTACGAGAATTTATTGGAAGTTGATTATGTCGTGGTCTTTATGGGTGACAAGTATTTCACCCAGGAGGAAGATCTGTGTTACATTAAGAAGTTTTCTGATGCGTTGTTCAAGTTGCATTATCGATTTTCGAAGAATGGTTTTTACTGGGCAATGCAGCTGATTGGCCCCCCGGACGAGGCGAGGAAATACAGATTCGAAATCGATGTCTTGGATAACACCAACAGCAACCAAAAAATCTTTCTGAGGAATTTCTGCGCACCGCTGACTGACAAAGACGAGACTTTTAACGAAGATAGCCCACACGTGTTTCTCAAGCTGGAGCAAATTCAGCCTCTGTTGACAGATCAGCTGAACTACTTTATTCGTATTATAAAATGAAAACTTTTTTACAGTATGTTAAAAAAAAAGTGGCACCTGGAAGGGGTAGTTTAGACCGCTGAAATTTTATAGAAATAAATAAGGCTTAAAGTTAAACAATGGAGTAAATTTTCAAAAATAACTGACAGTATTTAATTAAAAAAAATTGGTCTAAAGAGTTTAGACAGTACTTCCCTCGCTGTCGGAAACTTGACGACTGCATGCCTATTGTGTTTTTTTTCTCATTACATTTTTGTAGTGGGAATTTAAAAAAAAATTGCGATGACGTCATCAACATTTTTGCAAGGACACGTATATCAGTTGGGATAGATGTAGTGTAATACTAAGAATAAAATTATTATATTCTCAAATTTTCGGGAAAATGAATTGGGTCGTTTTGAATATTGATTTGTAATAATCAATAAAATAACGAAACAATTTACTCACGTATACGTATCAGAGGCAACTGAAAATCGTGTATGTATAAACATTCTTAATTTAAGATGACAGGCGTAACAGCATACGTGAGAGTCAAACAGAGAAACTGTAAACAAAACGACCATCGGTTTTATTGCTTCGACTTCCGCTTATTATATAAAACATTGGGTTTTATTTTAATTCTTGACGGTGAAATTCACAATTGGTTGATTATAAACATGTCTATTTCACATTCGCGGAACCAAGTGAGCGCATAAAACAAATGCAGGTCTGTAATGTTAAAGTCGATGTAAATAAGCGTGCTACCCTTATGTTTCAACCGAGTTTTTCCTTTAACAAATTTTGTGTCTACCAAATTGGGTTGGTTGGGGTGTAATACTAATAAGTGTTGCCTTTAATTTAATCAATAAAATAAATTGACTTCATTAATTTTTTTGAACCACCTCTTAAGAAAATCTAAAAAATATGAATGGAATGATAAATCACAAGTACAAACTCATCATATTTTTTGCATTTTAGATAGGATTTATTCAGCAAAATTTAAGGGTGACGTCATCAATTTTTTTAGGAGGGATGAACAAATACATTTTGAACAAAAGTTTACCATGCTTATAATAACTTTAAAATATTCCCAAGATTTCAAAGCATTCGGTTTTGTAATTCCTGATTAAATCGATAAAATAAATTCACGCCTTCATTAATTTTTTTGAGTCACCCTGCATATGCAAATCCAAAAATATGAATGGAATGATAAATCACAAGTACAGACTCATCATATTTTGTACATTTTAGATACGATTTATTCGGCAAACTTTTGAGCTGACGTCATCAGTTTTTTGTAGAAGATAACCAAATATATTTTGACTAAAAATTTATTATGCTCTTTATAACCTTAAAACATCTGCAAGATTTCAAAGCATTCGGTTTTGTAGTTCCTGATTAAATCAATAAAATAAATTTACGCATTCATTAATTTTTTGAGTCACCCTGTATATGCAAATCGAAAAAATTTGAATGGAGTGATAAATCACAACAAGAGACTCACCATATTTTGTACATTTTAGATAGGATTTATTCAGCAAAATTTTGTGGTGACGTCATAAATTTTTTAGGGGGGACGACCAAATACGTTTTGATCAAAAATTTACCATGCTTATGATAATTTTAAAATATCTTCAAGATTTCGAAGCATTCGGTTTTGTAGTTCCTGAGTAAATCAGTAAAATAAATTTACGCTTTCATTTATTTTCTTGAATCACCCTGTATATGCAAATCCAAAAAATATGAATGGAGTGATAGATCACAAGTACAGACTGATCATATTTTGTACATTTTAGATATGATTTATTCGGCAAATTTTCGAGCTGACGTCATCAAGTTTTTGGAGGGGATAAGCAAATATATTTTGACTAAACATTTATTATGCTCTTTATGACCTTAAAACATCTGCAAGATTTCAGAGCATTCGGTTTTGTAGTTCCTGATTAAATCAATAAAATATATTTACGCATTCATTAATTTTTTTGAGTCACCCTGTATATGCAAATCCAAAAAATATGAATGGAGTGATAGATCACAAGTACAGACTCATCATATTTTGTACATTTTAGATATGATTTATTCAACAAACTTTTGAGCTGACGTCATCAAGTTTTTGGAGGGGATAAGCAAATATTTTTTGACTAAAGATTTATGATGCTCTTTATAGCCTTAAAACATCTGCAATATTTGAAAGCATTCTGGTTAGCAGATTAAAAATTAAATTTCAAAATGTTGTTTTATAATTTTGATTTTTTTTCCAAAAATCTGGACGTTTCGGGTGAAAAGTCGATTCAGAGTTGTAAACTACATGTGTAGGACTATGTTATTTTATACAATTGAAAACCCATTTACTATGTACAATTTTGAAGTGACGTCATCGCATTAGTGGTGGGGATGATTAGAAAAATTTTGGTTAGCGTTTTACCATCTACATGATATTCTTAATATAAGTACAAAATTTCACAACAATCGGTCGAGTACTTTCGGAGATTATCTGTCTAATAAAAATCCGGGGGCAGACGGACAGACGGACGGACAGACGGACTGACAGACGGAAATGGGAGACCTATTTCTTCGTCTTCTAGGGGTCATGAAAGATCGAGAAAACGTAAAAGTAGAGAGTCGGCCGACGGACTCGATTACAATACTTCCTTTGCTTACGCTCGGGAAGTAAAAAAAGAAAGCTAAAATATTAGAGACAATGAAATCGAAAATTTTTGAAATACTAGAGTCTTGGCAACCTGTTCTATAATTACAAGCGTCAAACACATCACCTTTCTTATAAATAGGAGTAATGTTGGATATTTTCCATAATTATTTAGGTACATAAGATGTAGAAAGAGATTTGTTGAACAAGATTTAAAGATGTCTACCTAAACTACTCGTATTATTTTATATTGATATTACTGGAAAACTTAGACTGCTCCTTTAGGTGATACATTTTTTTTTAACTCAGTGTCTACTAGGTATGTATATGAAATTATGAATTGTGGTAATAAAATTTAATTTCAAATTTTGCCAAGATTTTTTTTGGAACAGTCAAGAATCTTCGTCTCTCAACTCGCCTTTGAATATTTAATCCAGAGTAAATATGCCTTTATTTGCATTCTCCGCGAGCGCGGTGTTATTTCAGCGTGGCGTAATCCTAAAACAACCTGAAGGTGGGCACCGCAGGAACAGTAACCGTAACAAAGTGCACTTACGAAACTAGCGAACTTGTGTGATTTACAAGACTAATCTATTATTTATCAAAGCTGCGTCTCGCGATAAACGCGCAACACGCACACTTCCCTAATTTCTCCGTGAATAATTCAGTCCTTGCGGGCCTCCAGATGTGTCGGAGTAGTTTTATTTCGAGAATTAAATCTGTCGTCGCCCTGAACCCGAATTCTCCAGCCGAAGAAATCGCGATCCGGGCGACGATACCGCAGCGACGGTTTTACTGCTCCTGACTAATAGTCTGGTTGAGTGTTCTGCGGATGTAATCGTGTAGCAGTAAACCTCAAAACCGCTGAAATACGGCCTGCTACAGTCGCACTGCATGCATTGCTCATAACGGAGCAAAAGGTGTAAATTAGAGGAGTCGCTATCCGGAACTGCGGGGGAATTAATTTCGGGAGCGTGACCGGAAGAAGTGGAAAAAAGCAAGTTTGCCTAATGCAGCGTTTGAGTCGCTGCTTGAAGTACACGGAGGGCCAATTAGAGGATGGTGGAAAGGGTTTTAGTTGACACGCACGCGATTTACAGAAAATTGTAGCGGCTAAAGAATTTTCAAGTAGAGCATTTTAATATTGTCGAATTTATTGCTCCGAGAACATGAAAAAATAGCTCTCCGTTTCCGTCTCTCTGTCGACTGTTGGGTTGCAAACAATTTGAAGACGTCATCTCAAAAATTTCGCACTCAAATTTTAAAATATGATTCCCTACAGATGATTTATTAAATCGCCCTTATTTTTTACCATAGATGTTCAGATTTTTGGAAATAAAAATTTGTTAACTTTTTTTGTTATATTTTTTGGCGCCACTTTTTACTCCTTTTTTCCTGCAAGTATTTTTGGTCGTTTTTCTCTGTAAGTTCCGTCTTATTTTTATCGCAAGTTTTTGAAGCGGTCTTTTCTCGCTTTTTTTCAATTTTTGTCGTTTTTAAACGTTTTTGTCATATTTTTTGTCGTCGTTTTTATTGTAACTTTTGTGATTTTTTTGTCGTCATTTATTTCTCCCGGTTGTTTTTGTAGGGTTTTTAGTCGTTTTACAGACTTGTTGCTTATTTTTATCGTCATTTCTTGGATGCGTTTTTTTTTTTAGGAGCTTTGTTTGTAATTTTTCGGTTTTTCGACGTTTCAATTTTTCAATTACTCAATTTCTTGATCTTTTTATTTTTCGATTTCACAGTTTTTCGTTTTTTCAACTTTTCGATTTATCAATTTTAAGTTTTTCAATTGGTCGTGTCTTCAATTTTTTGATTTTACTTTTCTTAGAAACTAAAATTGTTCAATTTTTTGAATTTCGATTGAACTTTTTTTTTCGATTTGAAGTTTTCCGATTATTCAATTATTCAATTTCTAATTTTTCAATTTTTCGTTTCAATTTTCCGATTTGTAATTTTTAGATTATTTTTGCAATTTTACGATCTGCAACCAATCGAGTTTTCATTTTAAAATTTTTCAGTTTTTCAGTTTTTGATGACTTCAGTTTTTCGATTTACAATTTTTCGTTTCAATTTTTTATTTTCTTTGTTTTTTCAATTTTTGGGGTTTTCAATTTTCTCATTTTATAATTTATGTTTCAATGCGAAATTTTTCAATTTTTTGATTCTAAGTTTTTCGATTTGCACTTTTTGGTTTCCAGTTTTTCAACAGTTAGATTTTTGGTTTTTCGTTATTTCAATTTTAGATTTTGCAGTTTCATGATTTTTTAATTTTTCGTTTCTTCCATTTTTGATTTACAAATTTTCTAGTTTAATTTTATAGTATATGTACTTATTACACTTTCGTTTTTACGATTTTAGAATTATTCAATTATTGGATTTTAAAACCTTTTCATTTATTCGACTTCAATTTTTCGATACCTAAATTGTTCATTCTTCGAATTTTTGATTTGCTTTACATTTACAATTTTTTGGTTTGTCAATGTTCTGATTTCGTTTTTTTTCAATTTCAATTTTTCCAATTTTTCGTTTCTTCGATTTTTCGACTTTTAAATTTTTTGATTTTTGGTTTTTTCAGTTGTATAGATTTTTGAGTTTCATAATTTACCATTTTCCGGTTTCTTCAATTT